TTCCCAACCTCCTTCAGGAGTTTTTGTCTCACCAACTCAACACACCAGATGCTGAGCTTCAGTGCTTGGCAACTCCCACAGGTCATATCAAGGTTTTCCACTCTGCCAGTGTGACATTTGTCTTGCCAAGTGATCCTTGCAGGATCAGGAGCACATGCTGTGAACAGATTCAAGCAACACCATCCTGGTATGGTGGTCCTGAATGTTATGACACTGTGTTTGTGAACATGGATGACACACATGATGGGATGGAGGGCATGAACATAGCCCAGGTTCTTTGCTTTTTTTTGTTACCATGCACCAATGGCTTATCATACCCATGCGCTCTCATTCATTGGTTTGATTACATAGCAGACATGCCCAATGAACTGACTGGGATGTGGATGGTAAAACTGTTGTCACACACCAAAGGTGTTGTGGACATGGTTATAGCTGACTCTGCCTAACTCATTGACGAGTTGCACACAACATCATGCTGTGCACATGAAGACTAAAGGCCTCATGTGTAGAAAGACTGCTGGACATTAACAGTCATCCTTCACACAAGAATGAGCTGTCAGTGCTAAAGAGAAAAGAGGAAGTGAGTTAAGCATGCATTAACGGTTTTTAGTGCCCATGTACAGCATTCCAGTTTTCATCATATCTCCACCATTTCCAAAGATATCGACTCCATTCTCACACTCACTTAAAGTGCTCAGCCACACAGTTCTGCCTTCCAAATTTGGGGAGGATCCTCACACCCTGCACATTTCTACAGCACTCCATCCATCAGATGCTCATTTTGTGAAGTCCATCAATCATGGCTGCCTCTTTGTTGATCATCTTGCTTGTCTCATTTGCCAGAGACAGTGGCTATGTATATCTGTCAGGCATTCCCACCAGCTTCCATCCTGAAGCCCCCTGGTTCATCCCATTGTTGTCAGCCCCATCTCATCCCATGCAGCTTGGTCAGCATGTTCTCCTTGTCAGTATGACTTCCAGAAGGACATTCTTCAGTCACTGCAGGTCTGTCACTTGGTTAGAAAGGTCTTATGTGGTTGTTTTGGTCTCCCCAGTTGATGAAGCATATGGATCATTCCTCCCTGCTCCCTGCACCATCTTTATTCCAATCTTGTCTATCATTCTTCCCACACTGTGACAGCTGCAGCATAGTCTATTGTTCTCCAGCCTCCCTGATCACATTCATGACAAGTATGATGTGCATCTTGCCTTCTTACTGCAAGGTCCAGCAGAAGACATCCCCCCTTCTCCTCCTCCATCAGAGCCCTGTTCATGAAGCTTTTGTTAACTTTGCTGAGAGGATGAAAGGGTGGGAGATGTGATCACTTATGCTCCCATTGCCCCACAGACCCCCAATGCCCTAGCCCCTTTGATGCCTGACTCATGCCCTTCAATTCTGGAATTAATACTTCCCTATCTGGAAACACTGTCCATCTGTCATGCCATCTTCAGATCTAGAGATGTTTCCACCGAGATCTGATTTGCATCGCCACCCCCTAATGTGATATCAGTGTGCTTACTCAGTTTCTGACTCCATTTGACTCATTCTATGATATTCTGACTATCCTTGACTTGTTTATTGCCAATACTTACCAATCTTCTTTGCTTGCTTACTTTTCATTTCTTGCTTACTCATCATGATTACTCAGTCCTTACTCATTACTTACCAAGTGTTTGTGCCATGTTTGTCACAAGCTGTGCTCCCCCCACAGTATATAAACCCCTGTGTACTTAGCTACAACCCCCAAGCAATCCACAAGCAATACAGAAGCAATCCAGAAGTCAGTTCAGCTCTCTCAGTGCATAACTTGTCATCGAACAGTTGAGGCTCATTTGGATGAGTCTATCTGTTACCATCCATCATCCTTGGTAGTTGAGGCTCCATCAAGGGTCTATCTACCTCCATTCCTTATCTGAAGCTTTCTCCACTCTTAGTCAGCAGTCTTGCTTAGTCATCCCTCTGCTCCTGCATAACTCGACATTGACTTGTGCCAGGTGCATGTTTTATCAAAGTCCATCATTCCAGAGGTCCTTTCAGCTGAACACCTTCACTCTGTTCAGCATCCCCTGTCCAGTCATCACTTGCTTGTCTACTCCTGCATAACTCATCAACAACTTGTGCCAGGAGCACCTCCACTTGAAGTCCCCCCCCACATTAGATTTTCTTCTGCACTCCAGGTTCCACAGAGGCAAACCACCACTCGCACATTATTTGTCTTTGGTGTTGGACTTGTTTGGTTTTCACCAGCTTTCCATACATTGACTCACACTGTCCTTCCTGGACAACAGAACTCACCACCTTGCCATTGTTCACATCAACACCATCATACAAGCAGCACATTTAATTCCTATTTTTGGTCAGGAGCATGCTCCACTGCCCATTAGCTTCAATAACTCATTGAACGTTTACTGCAGATTCTACATTAATCATTTTGTGGACCACCTTTAATAATATGCTTTCCGGACCCTGCCCCAGGGTCCGCATGCATCTAGGAAAGGGTGCATGCATCTAGCGAAGAGTGTAGCATCCGTGCATGCATCTAGGAAAGCGTGCATGCATCCGTGCATGCATCTAGGAAAGCGTGCATGCATCCGTGCATGCATCTAGGAAAGCGTGCATGCATCTAGGAAAGCGTGCATGCATCTAGGAAAGTGCACATGCATCTAGGAAAGTGTACATGCATCTAGAGAAGAGTGTAGCATTGGTGCATGCATCTAGGAATGTGCACATGCATCTAGGAATGCGTGCATGCATCTAGGAAAGGGTGCATGCATCTAGGAATGTGCACATGCATCTAGGAATGCATGCATGCATCTAGGAAAGGGTGCATGCATCTAGGAATGCGTGCATGCATCTAGGAAAGGGTGCATGCATCTAGGAATGTGCACATGCATCTAGGAATGCGTGCATGCATCTAGGAAAGTGCACATGCATCTAGAGAACAGTGTAGCATTGGTGCATGCATTGGTGCATGCATCTAGGAATGTGCACATGCATCTAGAGAAGAGTGTAGCACCAGTGCATGCATCTAGGAAAAGGGTGCATGCATCTAGGAATGTGTGCATGCATGCATCTAGGAATGTGCACATGCATCTAGGAATGCATGCATGCATCTAGAGAAGAGTGTAGCATCAGTGCATGCATCTAGGAATGCGCACATGCATCTAGGAATGCACACATGCATCTAGGAATGCGTGCATGCATCTAGGAATGCACACATGCATCCCTGCCTTATATGGAAGGTTTCCTGCATGAAACCTGCACAGCCACTGAATGAAACCTCACAGCCACTGAATGAAACCTCACAGCCACTGAATGAAACCTACACAGCCACTGAATGAAACCTCACAGCCACTGAATGAAACCTACACAGCCACTGAATGAAACCTACACAGCCACTGCATGCAACCTCTCAGTGAGTGAATGCAACCAACACAGCCACTGAATGCAACCTCCATAT